GTTACCAGATTTTACAAAACACGTTTATGTAACGCTACTTATAATACCACGAAATTAATCCAATTGAAATGCCAGACACTTTACGCATCTTAAGTATAACTAATGCATTTCATCAGCACGAGTATGCTCAATACATTCTTGTCACGAAATATCGTTAAAGGAATCATAAGTTGTATTTATTGTTATCATTACTTACGTGTTGGTAATAAATTGATAACAGAAATGTTTTAGGATCGATATGATTTTCTCATATAAAACTAAATTTTTATGGATGCATGGGTTACATGACTCAAATATATGTTAATTATAGACTTGGTTGTATCTATAGTTGTGAATTTCGGACACGTAAGGTACGTACGATTTTTTTTCTATTTTATTTTTCATTTTCTGATAAGAAAAGGTAGACTTTGTTCTTCGTGCTAAAATATTTGGAGAAGTATTGTAAACAAAAATATTAAATTTAAATGATAAAAAAAAAAAGAAAAAAGTATTGGTGGCAAAAGTTTTGTATAAATGTACTGGTAGCGGTCCAAACATCAAAACATTAGTAACATTATTTTTAAAATTTTCGTAGACAATGATGTATGATCTAGAATATATATTTAGTTATGTATCGGTAGTAGTCCATACATCAATACATCAGACGTGTAATTTTTAAAGCCTTAATAGAAAGTAATGCACCATCTAGAAAATATATTTAGTCAGCTCATTAAAGTTTAAAACGACAGGTTCGAAAAAGTTAACCAACATTTAATTTTTTTAATACTGATAGTTTTCCCTTGCAGCTTAGAAATAATTTCGATTAGATAAAATGTTCTCTCGTTGGGTCGAATTTCAAATTAGTTTTGAAATATCAAGAACAGTTATATCAGCATTGTATTTCTTAATTGGTGATACAAAGAAAATATTACCAACATCGATTTACTTACTGCTTAATCAAACAAAGCAAATACTATTTTACTTGGAGCTGTAAAGGAAAACTTTACGTTTTTTTGTACTTAAAGTATATGCGTTTTTCAAAATTAATATTGTATTAGTACTAGTAAAGTCTAGTCATAGTTAGAGCCTTAAAAATGCTTTTAGTCATAAGCATGATTGAAATAAATTATTTTATAGTCAAAAGAACTCAACTCGTTGGTTAATTATTTATTAGCTTCTTGAAAGCAGAGGCGTGTGTGTGTATCGTGCGGTGTTTTCTACTTATCGTTTGGTCTCTTGCCTAAAAGACGCTCGAGTGCCCCGTATTGTGTCTCGCAGGGCCTTATATAAGCTCGTTTTCCCTAATAGTGTCCTTTACTAGCATAGGCTTGTAGTTACTAGGGTGAGTCAGTATGATATGCCCAGCATATCGTACGTAACGTACCATTATAGTTTCTTTATTTTTGACAGTCCCAGAAATTAAAACGTATTTTAATCAAGTTCGTCATATTAATAATAACATTAAAACCAATATTGTTAAATAAATTAGATTGATGTAAATTAGGGCTTAAAATTTTAAGGTAAATGATATTGCTAATGTATCTGCGTAAAATCTGCCTCTATCAAAATGTTTTTTTTTTTAATTTACCATACAATTGTAGCACTGTTCAAGTGCAATAAAGCTAATACTCTTAGTTACCGAAGACCTTAGTCTATTCAACTTTTATTATTGTTCAAACGTTCATTTTACCAGGACGTTATTAACACAAGACAAATACAACAAACATTAATATAATATTTTTGATAAATGTAAAATGCAGCTGCTTTCACTATTGAACATGTTAGAATAAGCGTTTAACGATTACTTTTAGTTTTCAACCGAGCAACTCCGTCAGTAGTGTAAATTATGTTATGCTCCATTACTTTAAATTAAGGTTCCTATTAACATAATGTACTTTCATTTCATCCATAAAAAGTTAAATTAGTTTTTGATAATTTCCATGTTACTGAAATACTTGTAAAGCATTTAAAAGTTTGACTTGGTCATTAAAATACGTCTAACAAATGCGTAGCTTATTGAACTGGGGGTAATTAAAACGTGTTGCTAAGCGCATAGCAGCGATAGCTGCACGTAAAGCACAAGAATAGTGGCTCCCAAGGTGGTAACAACTTGCTATTATTCTTATTGTAATTCATTACTTATTTGTATTTTGATATTTGTGCTTCTTCACGGTTACACATTTAGAGTTAGTGCATTTTCACGTATATTAACCTTCTTGCCTTTTCATAGTTTGTCCAGCATATTGCTTGGAAATTCGATCATTTTGCGATTGTAACGTTTAATCATAAAAATTATGAGTATTTCTAGTATGCAAGTTAAAAGAAACTTGCTGGGAGTAAAACAAAGTTCTAAAAAATGGCTGGACTTGTTCTTGATACTTCACTGGACGGCACTGTTCCTTAATATCTTCCTATTTTTAGGTAAGTACTTTTACAGTAATTTTAATAAACTCTCGAGTTACCTGCGTTATTGTAGCTGATGCAAATCCGAAATATTTTCATGCTTATAAATTTAACTATTATTGTGTAAGAATGAATTTGAACAGTTTATGATGTGCCTAAGTTTCTTTAGGGTCTGCGTGTAGTAAAGAAGCATAATTTTTTTTTTTCAATAATTGTAACTAAGCAACATTTAAGAAAAGACTTTGCTCTAACGTTTTTATTAGGAAAGAAAATGGAATGTATCAAATCTTCCGTTCTCTTAACTAATGTAACTACATTCATTTCATGATGGTAAAATCTCCAAGTGATTTAAAACGTATTACAATATGCAGTCCTTTTAATAACTTTACTAATGGTAGCTTGCACAACAAGGTAAAATTTTTGCATCATATTTCAAAACTCCCTGTTAACAAATACAAAGAACTAGCAGCCCCCCGAGGCTTCGCCCGAGACTTGCTAAATAAAACACCGTAGTGTGTTGACATGTAATGTGAAACATTTTCAGTTAGAAATTTAACACATACTCCTGATACATCTAAGAACAAAAATCTTCTTTTTAAAAACATATTTTTTCGGAATCCATACAGTTTATTTGGTTAAATAATGAGGTGTAAAAATTCAAAAAAATTACTATGCTGAAAAGATAGATTACCCCTA